GGCTAGGGTCTGGAACCAAGTTCCAAGAGAGGTGGTGCAGGCTCCTACCCTGGGAGTTTTTAAGAGGAGGTTAGATGAACACCTTGCTGGGGTCGTTTGACCCCAGTACTCTTTCCTGCCATGGCAGGGGGTTGGACTAGATGATCTGCTCAGGTCCCTTCCGACCCTAGAAACTATGAAACTATGTCAAGAAAGGCAGCACCATGGCCCTGGGCATTAGCTTGGTGTTCAGGAGATTTGGATTCCATATTCATCTCTCAGATCTATGCATGTAAAGCATTTGTTTAGAAGTTAAGCATCAGTGATAAAGGTAGGAATGTTCCTAGTATACTTATCTTTGAATGAGAGGGGAAGGGTACCACTTGCTTTAGCTAAAGCTCAAAGCAAACCTGCGAGGAAAGGGTCGTTATATATTCATTCAAAGATAGACCAAATTTCAGTCTCAATTAAGATGTGGACTTCTGCTGATTTTCATAGACCAAGATTTATGCCCTGGTTTCTCCCATGGAATTCAGTAAGGTACAGTATTTAGATACCTCCATAACCCTCTGATATAAGGTAGTATTACCCCCCTTTCGCAGACCTGAAACTGAGGAGCAGGAAGAAAAGACTTGGCTAAAGTCACACCTAGGGTCTGTCGCAGAGCTGGGAAGAGAATCCAGGTCTCTTGCATCCCAGGCCAGAAACCCAAAGGAATGTTTTTGTGCTTTTCTTCGGCAGGCAATTAAGTGGGAGGGGGCATTCCCAAAGATACAGTCATACTGCAGAATTCTTGTTATTTAAACACCCTGTTACACAAGTAAAAGTCTCATTGGATGATGTTATATGCCTCTCTCACTGATTTCTCAGTGTTACACTGCTCTCCATAATGAGGACAGCTCAACATTTTGTCACAGGTTCAAGATGATCTTTATTCCACTGAAGATTGAATATTTAAAAGAACAAAAGTGTCCTTTATAATCCATTGGACCATCCTGACAGGAAAAGCCCATCCTAGGCAAATCTATGGGGGGCAAAGAGAAGCACTTTGCCTTAGGCTTTCAGAATAGGTGGAGCAAACAGAAAACTTTAGGGCACCACTCCATTGCGTTACTACAAATTTGTGCCAATGTAACGCAGCAGATGTTTGAGCTTACTGGACTTGCAAGAATCTTTCCACTTTCTCTGCCACATGATTTGAACTAGTTTTATTTGGTTGGATGTCACGTCTAACTGATGTGTAAATTGGATGCTGGAAACAAACTGAATACTAGGCCTGTGGGAGTTGGCAGCGATCCGATCTGGCTTCAGAGCTGTCCGCTTCGGATGGCTGCGATGCGATCTGGAGCGCCGGACTGGGTTTCCACCTCAATCCGGCTGAAGTGGCTCTGAAGCTTCGGAGCCGCCTTGGAGATCCAGCCATAGGGTATAACGGGGAATCAATAAAATATCTGTAACTTTGTTGTTTTTTGTCCAATTTGGATGAACTTTTCAGGGACGGTAGGCTCTGCAGAGAGAAAGAAACCTGACAAGTTTCAAGATCAGTGTGGGGGTTTGGGGGAAACAGCACCCCAAATTCTTGAAAGCAAAACTCCTGTCAGGGTGGTGTGTTACACCACAGGGGGCTGGTGGGCTGGTAGCTCTTACTGAGGCCACAAAGCCTGCCAAGTTTCAAGGAGATTGGTGCAGGAGTTTGTGGGGAACTGCCCCTCAAACTGCAGAGAAGCACAACTGGTGCCATGGGTGACAGCACGCGCCAAGGCGCAGTGGGGTGACAGCGGCAGGGACGGTGGCCCCTGCTGTGATGCCTGCCAGCTGTCGAGATTGGTGCAGGGGTTTCTGGGGCCCGGCCCCCCTAGCTGCTGAGAGGCAAAACTTGTGCCAAGACTGTGATTGTCCTGGGGCAGTTGATTGTCTGTATCCAGTGTTTCCTCTCCTTAGCCTTGTTTTGTAGGTGCTAA